TGTGTTTGCATTTATATTTTTAGCCTGAAACTATCAGCACATACTGAGACATACTTACAGCCAAGATGGTAAAACAGACATTAAATGTTGTGGCTCCCAAAGGTGGTTTCATTTTTGTTGAAAGGACAAAATGGCTCTCCTTAACACTTTGGTTGCGACCTCTGAGTTAAGCCTACTAGTAAGGGGTGATCAGCGCGTGCCCGTTTGCTCGAACTGTCCGCAGCTTAGTCAGGATTGCACAGTCGCCACCAGCCCAGTTCAGATTTTGCGTGGATCGCCTGAAGCCTGTAGCGAAATTGTAGAAAAAAATTTCGCTATAGCTACACAGAAATTTGTGGGCACTACAGCTATTAGCTACATTTCATCAAACTATAGCGGCTACAGGTACTAGCTACAAAAATTTGTAGCTGACTACAGAAAGTAGCATGCTACTCCTCCCATCCCTGGTTACAGTAGTTCTCACAATTCTGGGTTTATCTTCACTTTACATTAACTGTCAGTCAAAAAAACGGCTATTAATATTGTATCACTAGCTCTACTATCATATAAATGGACAACAACAGCCACCTCGACCTCACTGAGGCATATGCTGGAGTGCAATATATTTATCAGAGTGCACTCTGCAGTGCTACAGACTACAGGACTATTGGTCATGATGCACTTTAATATGAGAACTGTACTTTTCTGACACCTTCATCCTTCAAATAGTTCAAAAATCAACATTTTGCAACTTTCGACAGACATAAACTTAATGCTACCTTAAAAAAAATAATTTAAAAGTTAATAACTTTTTTCACCAAAGGCCTCTTTGCTTTATCTCTCATGTGAGATTTGTCATCCTGACAGCACGTTGCTAACACATTTCCTGTTTTAAGATCATTTCCTCTGTAGGAAACTTCACACTCATAAATGAATCTACAACAGTGGTATTAAAGACAAGAATCACTGTCTACTGCTCAATTTCATGATTATAACTCAAGTTCAAAGTTAACAGCTAATTTTAATCTGAATTACAAAAGTTCGGACTTGAAGAGGTTTGACCTGTGGTGCGTCATCCAAACTCCTGCCAGATTTATGAGAAAAGCATTAAAGTATAGAGTATATACAGTCAAAGTGCTTATAGAGCACCATAAACTACAGCAGCTAGATGTTCAATACCAGCTTATTTCAACACAAGCAGCCAACCGACATGTTAAGCATCCCTATACTGTAAGTTAAAGCCAGTCAGTCCAGCACTGCTGCCTGAGTCCTACCTGCAGTGGAGCAGATGACCATCAGTATCACAACAGTTAGCACGGCTGCTGAAGGCTGGAACTCCATCATCGTTCACTGTTCATTTGAGAGGTCTGGTCTTTGTGCATGTACAGATTTTTTATCTGCTTTCTGCATCGCAAACTACGCCTGTCAGCACTTTATATGGCCTCACATTTTGCATTTGGAAAAGATGAAATTTTATTTTAGGAATAGGAAATGTTTATCATTTGAAGAAAAAAGGGATTTGTTTATTTTATTTGCAGTAATTGATTACAGAGATGTCATTTACTTACACATGCATGTACCTTTGCATTGCTTACGCATATTAGACACGATTTATCATGGTGCCTTAACGTTTCTTACTATCTGTCAGTTGATTACCCACCACTGTGGTCTTGAGTGTAGCTTGACTAGAAATAGGCTTATTCATATTCTATTGATGATGGAGATGATAGAGAGAAAAGTGCTTGTTTTCCTCTCGTTCTGCCCTGCATCCCACAATACATAGTGAACCAGGAAACAATCTTTCAGTTATGCTAGAAGAGATTGTTTTATTGCAGGTTTAATAAATGTAATATGAGGAGAAAGAAAAGAAAAATGGTATAAAAAGGCATTTTTAAACGAATAAGTGACTCGTTTAACAAGAACTTTAAGCCGAATCTGTTGTCTGACTGATTCTTCTGTATTACACAAGTGCTAATGCTCATCTTTCTTGCCTAAAACTGCCTGAAAGAGCAGCAAACAGCCTCTTTTCCTCACCATACTTTCACTAAGTCTCTCACTATGAACAAAATTCCTGTCCTGATCCTCCTCTTCCTCCTCTCCAGCTCCTCACTGCACATTCTCCTGTTCTTTAACTCTGGACTGCAGGGAGACCAGCTCTGTGTTCTCATTCTGGGCTACAGCTGTTGCTGCCCCCTGCTGACTTGTAGACACCATAATCATTTGCACCACAGCAATGACCAGACGACTCAGTGATTTACACTCTCTGTACTGGGGTGTTACGGCATTGCACAGGTTAGTGTTTTCATTGTTCTAATAAGCCTGATTTATCAGATCTATTTAGTGATGAGCTTTATTCTGTGTGCTGGATATATAATTTACTCTCTGAACTCTCAATGCATTGATTTATCAGTGCATTGCTGCACCTCTTCTGTTGAACCCAGGCTTTCAGAGACTGTGATAATCTGTTTTCTCTGGGTAATGTAGTTCCTCACCTGAATCTAAACTTTTCTTGGAGAACCTGAACGACATAGATGCACGAATACGAAGGATTTTATGCTGATGAAAGAAACGATGTTATATAATAATTGATGTGTAATTTGTTTATGGAGTGATGCAGTAAGTTCAATTAAAATGTCTTGAAGTCTCCAAAAGAAAGAAGATCCACATGAACAAAACAAGTGAAGTGAACTGCTCTTACAGAGCAGGTTACCTGAGACAGTGAGGGAGAGAAGCTCACTCTTAGAGGAGAAATTATGAATAATAATCTCCATAAAACCTCTGAACCTTGACTGAACTTTTCAGTCTGACACTTTCCTCAAAGGTATGTGACCTTTCTCTTGACCTACTAAGGTCCAAACTAATAACTGCACAGGATTCAGTGAACAAAAAATACCTAAAACATTGGAACAATTTTCAAAGTCCTATGACATACCGGTCACATAGATTGGGCATGATATGAACTTTTCACAGGAAAGGCTAGTGGTAGAGGTGAGACTGAAATACCACAGCAAACAGCTCCCATCCAGAAAGAGAACTAATCAGCATTGTGGACCAAAGGTGACAGAGACTTGGACACTCCCCTTGCTTGAACGCTATAAGCTGAAGCTTCACACCTGTATCTCTCTGAATTGCAATGGGTCTTCTGATTTTTCACCCACCAATGTACAGTAATCAATCCTGATAGAAATGAAGGCAGTTAGTGATGTGCTCAAGGCACTTACAAAGTGAGTGAAGGGGACCATAGTTATGAGTATCATCTGCATCTGTGGTCAGATATCCCATAGTCTTGTAGAATTTAGTCAAGAGTCAGCATGTATAAATGAAATAAGACTGGCCCAAGAACTGAGCCCTGGTGGACACCACAGGTCACTGGCATTCTCTCAGAAACATTATTTTCTGTTTCCACAAAGTAGTCCCTTTCTGGCAGGTATGATCTGAACCACTTCAGAAAAGGTCCTGAGAGCCCAACCCAGTTCTCAAGTCAATCTATAAGAATTTTATGGTAAATGACATCAAGGGCAGCTCAGAGATCAAGCAGTAGTAGATGAAAAACAGATGTCTTTCCAGAGTCTGTATTGAAATTAACGTAATTAATAACCTCAATTAGAGCCATCTCAGTACTATGATTAGGTAAAAATCTGAATGAAATTTGTCTAGACAGCTATTTAATGGCAAATGGAAATGGAAAGTCAGTATTTAGGATTTATAATCCTTTTCTTAAAGCACATATGTCTGGTCTTGATGTTTAGTGATGTCCACATTTCAAAGAAAACACAGTAATGATCTGACAAAGTGATATCCTTAACAGTAGGTGATATATAGAACTCTATAGTCTATAATAAAACTCTATAATAAAATTATCATTGTACTTCAGAGGCCTGTAAGACAATTACTAGTAATATTTTTTGTTTCCCTTTCAGAACCAGGTAAAAAAATATCAATTTGCCAGATTACTTGAAAATGATGTGACCTCTTCACTTTCCGTGACGGAGAGTGAGTGAAGCTCCTGCTGACAGTGAGGAAGAGAGTGAAGCTGCCTGTCTGTTGTTTGGGGAGCTTGTCTCTTTCCTTGAGGTGCTACAGTTGCTGGGGGAGGTCTGTTTAATAGTTCATCAATTTGGCTGAGCTTCAGTGTGGCAACTTTAACTAACTCTATGACTGGTGATTGTGATGGGGAGGAGAGTTGTTGAGTCCCTGAGGCAGTAGTTGGGGGAGAAACTGGGCTAGTTTTTCACTGAACCTGAGGCTTGGCTGACAGAGACAGCAATAGTCTCACCCCAGCTGAAACCAGCTTCTCCATAATTGGTAGGAGGTTCAGATGGGGTGTGGAGGTGGTGGAGATAGAGGATGGTGTGGCTTGTTCTTGCAGTTTTGGTACATACAGCAACTGTGTAGGTACTCAGACAAGTGACAAATATTAAGTAATTAACTTTTAAAAGAAACAATGTGTTACAGGAATTATGTCACACCACCAAGAAACTTTACTTGCGTTGTATTGTAATTCTCTAACTAAACAGCAATTACTTTTTCCGTCCTACATAGTTTACGTCTAAAGCTCTTGTCATTGTGGATCAAATATGAACCACGTTACTAACCATACCAAGAAACAATACATGGGAAAACAAAACTAGTAAAATAAGTTGTTTATGCAGCAATTCAACAGCATCCACAGCTTAGCTAATAATAAAGTGTTGATTAAAAAACAGAACAAAGAGAAAACTGAGGAACATTTACCAAATTCAACCTAAATATTAAGTAACTAGTCAACAGGTACAGTTCAATACAAAAGTTGTTTATTGTACATTGTGTGAACAAACTGTGTGAAAAGAAGTGAATATAACCACTGCAGCAAACTATTTAAAAAGTCTGCAAATGTTAATGTGCAATTACTTTATTTGATTAACTTAAACAAACAAAAAAAGTAACTGTGGCATGTGCCAAAATTTGGACAGCCTACTAAGTCAGTACCTAGTTTTTGTAGCCAGCTAGAAGTCTTTCTATTATTGTTTTAGGAATTTTCAACCACTCTTCATATTTTCTTGGACAGTCTTGCATGCATAGCATGTTTAAGATGTACTCACAGATTTTTGGCAGTGTTGAACTTAGTGGAGTGTGAGTGTCATTCCAAAAGCTGCATTTTTAAATAAGTAGTTCATGACGGATTTTTGATGTATGTTTTGGATCATTGTCCTGTTGCAGAAGCCAGACTCTTTTGAGCTTTAGTTTCCTGACTGTGTCACATTTGCTGATATTTTGTGGAATCCATTCTTCCATCTGCCCAAGTAATGTTCCCTGTGCCAATGGCTTCCACGCAACCCTAAAGCATAACAGGTACCCATAATACATCCATACTAGACAGTTTTAATGGTCAGGATTAACAGTCAAGGCGTTCTTTCCATCAAATGCGTAATTTTTTTTTTTACCTTTTGCTTTTTTTTACACCACAGCATTCAATTTTTACATTATCAGTCCAAAGCACTTGTTTCCAAACACGTATGGCTTACCTAAATGTTTTTTCTCATTTTAGATGTTGAGTCTTATAATGTTGCCGGTAAGGTTACCTTTAAAAGACTCTTCTACGAACAATGAAAGCAGTACACTCTAGAATTGTCATCAGCTGACAACTCTTAATGCCCATTCTTGATCCTGAGCCTAACAAATCTATTGAAGTCTGAGATGTTATAACTAGAAGTGTCCAAACTGCACATGCAGCAATTGCTATTTTTTTTTACTTTTTAAATTAATCAAGTAAAGAAACTGTGCATTAACATTTGCAGAAAAAGGTTATGTTTTAATAGTTTGCTACACAAGTTGTATTTATTTCTTTTCACATAAATATGTAATTTGTGGTCAGTGGTGGCCAAACATTTGAAAAACTAACTTGATGAAAGAATGTTTGGTGCTGCAGAACTTATTTTAATCAATATGGTCTAAATACTGTGTAATGTAGATATAAGAACTATATGTCACTTGTGCCATGTGCAAATTCCAAGTGAAGTTTTCAAAGCTCTAAAGTCTCCAGTGTTCTTGCTCTGGTATTTTCAAGCTGAAATAGAAGCAGATTTTCCCATTTGCACATTACACTCTCAGTAACTCTCTGACTATGAATCTAATTCCCCTCCTGCCTCCTGCTCCAAGTCTATGGGCAGCTTCTCTCCAGCTCCTCTCTCCACATTCTGCTGCTCTTCAGCTCTGGACTGCACCTATAGACAGCAATGGACCCCAGTAAAGAACAGAACACTATTAATCCATGATTTACACTCTACTGGAGTCTTATAGCATTACACAGATTAGCGGTTTTGGGATCATTTCACTTGAACCCTGGCCAACAGACTCAACAAACTGATCCGCAAGGCCAGTGATGTTGTGGGTGTGGAGCTGGACACACTGATGGCAGTGTCGGAGAGGAGGATGCTGTATACCATCAGCGTAGCTGTAGAAATGTGTACCATGTTTACTGGTAACAGTACCCAGAGGTAGCGCATATAATGCAATAGTAGAGGTCCTAAAACAGAGACTTGTGGAACACCATACTGTACTTTTTTATGAACACATGATTTACAAGTTACATTTACAAACTGAAATGATCCGTCAGGTAAGATCTGAACCAGGAACGAGCTATTCCTGTTAGGGAAGATTTGAGATTGGTCTATACTTTGATAGTTTAAAGGGATCAGGATTAGGTTTCTTAATCAGAATCTAATTACTGCTAGTCTAAGAGTTTTTGGTGTACAATCAAAAGCTAATAGTTTATTATTGATAGAAGAGGCTTGGTTATGTTTGGGAAAATGTCTTTGCGGAAACTTGTAGGAATTGGATCTAAGTAAAATGTTAGCATGTTTTCCCTGTGGTTTATGTGGTGGATCTATAATTAGAAATATACCCTCTAAGCCCTCTGCACAATGAATTATCAGTGCATTTCTACACCTTTTTATTGTACTCATACTTCTACATGAAGATTGAAAAGTAGTCTCCACTTTCCAATGACAGATTGTTATCAGGTTGTAGTCGGTATATGTATCTGTTCTTTGACTTTCGCTTGTTATATGGGCTGTTCTTTTAACTCCACTCACTGTGCTACGTCAACACCAGCAGTGAGCTTAGTTGAGGAATCTCCAAATGTAATACTGGAACTATAATTCATTTTCTGATGCTGTTGTACAAACATTGATGTTACACCAAGAATGTCTCTACAGATCTACAAATAAATAGTTACTGGAGTCCGTCTGTTTAAAAACTGTGATTTTTATTTCAAAGTCTCTACACTGTAAACAGTGTTGACTGCTGTTCTCTCTGGGTAATGAAGTCACTCACCTGATGTGTTTCTAATGAAGAAGTAACCCCTCGTCTTGAAGATCAGGAAGATAGTCAAGCAGGTTATCAGCATCAGAAACAGCATCACAAAGACCACCAGCAGCTTTATGTTGATGATTGTAGATGATAGAGAATCTGAAACACACACAGGATTAGAGGATTTCAGAGAAATAGAGCTGTAATGTATTTACCAACATCATTTTCCAGAAAGGAGGGGAAGGTGAAGTGAGGGTGGGTGGATGAGGGGATTAACAGTATGTAATAACGTACAGCTGTTTTTCATAGTGCATCTTTCATGTAGCAAAGCTAATTTTAGCATCCTAAAAGTTTCTTGGTCAGTGTCGTCTTTTGTGCAAAACAGTGAGCGAAAACACTGAAAACAGCTGGAAACAGTACAGTCTCTTATGTGCTGTCAATGGAACTAAATCATAACATGACAACAGTACAAAAACAAGGGTTTTAATCAGCTTCATTGTTTTTTTCACTCTTTCTCAAATTAATGCCTGCAGTGCATTCCATAAAAAAATAAGACTCAGAACTTTGTGAAATGTTCAAAACACATCTTCAACAAGTGATGCAATCATGCTTTGTTATAAAAGGCAGAGTGTTTTATGAGCGAGGGTGGGTGGCGGCTCGACCAAAATTACTCATCATCTAATAATCCAAAAGTTTAAGAACAACGTTCCTCAATGAAGGATTGCAAGGATTTTAGTCCTTTCATCCTCTATGGAGTATAATAACATCATAAGATTCAGGGAATCCAGAGAAATCTCTGTGCATAAACCACAACTGAATGCCTGTGACCTTTGATCTTGTAGATTAACACAGAAACATATATATAAGCAACATTACAACAACATGTCTGCATAATTATGTGCTCGAATGGCCTACCTGTCTCCTATTAAACACATCTGGCACATTTTGATGCACAAAATATAACACTGAAGGCCCTGTAATGTTGCACATCTGAAGACTTAAATAACTGAAGAATGGCATAAAAATCTGTCCCAAATGTTTATTAAAAGCTGTTAAAAGGAAAGCCGATGTAACAGAATGGTAAACGTTGCTCCGGTCCCAGCTTTTTGGAACGTGTTGTAGGCATCAAATGGGAATGAGTGAATATTTACAAAAAACAGTCGAGTTCATAACGTAAAACATCAAATATCATTTTAGTACTGTCTTCAATTTAATACAGGTCAGAGAGAATGTACTGATCATTACTCTGTGTTTTTATTAGCATTTTATATACTGTCCAAATATTTGTCCTACTGAGGTTTGTATACCAAAAGCATGTTTACAGAATGCACCTAGAACAGATATTATCCTGTGAAGCAGAGGTGGGTTTGATGAACTGATCAACTGATCAATTTTATCAAAGTATAAATTTTGGATTTGTGTGGTAGACCTCACTGTTCGCACACAGACGCCATAAACAATGAATATGGAGTTAAGTTTGGGCCAAAAACTTTTAATGGAATGATATCATACTAGAAATACAAATAATGAAAATTCAGTCACCGTAAAATTACCAAAGTTGTTCCGTCCCTTTACTACTTATTTTAGCTAACAATTTGTCAGTCCATTAGCCACGCCCATCCCAGAAACCTTGGAAACTTCCCCAACATGTCAATGTATGTGTCATGTGTTTGACAAACTCTCAGACTGAGACGGACTTCATTTCCCAGACTCCTCTGGGAGATCATGTGAAAGCGCAACTTCCTTCTGACTCGGAATCCAAGATGGACTCCATTGCCCACAGTACAATGGGGGATCACATGACTTCTGACTACTGAGTGGTTTCACCTGTGTATCATTGTCATATGATTAGAAGAGCTTAGTAAACAAGCCCAGGCTTTAGTCAGCTTCAGTGTGAGGTATTGCTTCTTAGAGAACTTACTGAGCATTTATTTTCCTGATTTTTGACCATTGCCTTGTTTCCTACTCTGCCTTTTGCTTGACCCTTTTGTACTTTTGCCCTGGATATCTGATCTGTGTTTTGGAACCATTTTGCCTGTTTTTTCGACTATGTCTGTTGCCTTGCCCTTTTGTTTTTGTTGGCCTGGTGTTATGATCACCATTGTGATCCTTCTCTGTTTATTGGTATTGACCCATGCCTGTTCTTTGACCACGTTTTTGCCTTGTGATAATAAAACCAATCTTATCCATTTAATCTGCAAGTTTAATCTGTATTCTGCTGACCCGATTCAGAATACCTCGTCTAACATGCAGACGGCGGATCGGGAAGCCTTTCAGGAGGCTCTGACCGAACAAGGGCAACTCCTTGGTCGACACCAGCAGGTCCTCTCCAGAGTGACTCATTCCCTCGAGTCCCTCGTTCACCAACAGGCAGAACAACAAGCTCAGTTGGCCCAACTGGTCGCCAGTGTGAAGGGACTGACGGGACAAATATAGACTATGTGCTTCACGGAACCTGCAACAAGCACAGTGCTCTCAGACATTAAAGAATGGATGTCAAGTAACTTCCTCTTTCTAAATTCGGACAAAACCGAAGTCCTTCTTCTTGGTCCAAAAGCTGCTAGGGATAATCTGCCTACGTTTACTCTTAATCTCGATAGTTTCTCAATTGCACCAGGCACATCCGTAAAAAGCCTTGGTGTCACGATCGATCCCAGTCTGGCCTTCGATGAGCATATTACCAATATTACCAGAATAGCTTTCCTCCACCTGCGTAACATCGCTAAATTAAGAAATGCACTGTCGCTACAGGATGCAGAAACGCTAGTTCACGCCTTCATCACGTCCAGGTTAGATTACTGTAACGCTCTGCTTTCTGGCTGTTCCAGCCAAAACCTTAACAAGCTTCAGTTAGTCCAGAACGCTGCAGCCAGAGTTCTCAGCAAAACCTGGACATTCGACCACATTAGCCCAATTTTGTGTACCTTACATTGGTTGCCAGTTAAATTCCGCATTGAGTACAAGATTCTTCTGCTGACGTATAAAGCTCTGAATGGCCTTGCTCCTCAGTAACCTTATTTCCTATTATCAAACGACACGCCCACTTAGATCACAAGGTGCTGCTCATTATTAGTACCTAGAATTAATAAAGTTACGTCAGGGGGAGGAGCCTTTTCATACAAAGCCCCCCAGCTTTGGAATAGCCTACCAGTCTGTGTTTGGGACTCAGACACAGCCTCCATCTTTAAGTCTAGGCTAAAAACTTACCTGTTTAGTCGAGCCTTTGGTTAATTTGTTTTCCTAACTATGTCCCTCTTATCCCCCCCGGGGCGTGGACCCGGATTCTTTGTAAAGCTGCTTTGTGACAACATCTGTTGTAAAAGCCGCTATATAAATAAATTTGACTTGACTTGACTTGACTCTCAAACACGACAGACGAAACCTCCATGACAGTCTTCCCGGTTAGTAAGCCCGATAAATTCGGAGGAGACCCTGATAAATGTCATGGTTTCTTGCTTTAATGTTCGGTTTATTTTGACAATTCCCCTGCTAGTTCTGACCAGGCCAAGAGATCTTTCATTGTTTCAAGATTAGCTGATAAAGCTCTAGAATGGGCCACCGCAAGCTGGTTTTAGATACACCGCCTATCCTATGCACAGTTCCTTAAAGAAAGTGTTTGATCATCCCTATGAGGGCAAGGTTAGTGGGGAGTTATTGTCTAAGTTACGTCAGGGAAATTGTTCTGTGGTGGACTATTCGTTGGAGTTCCGAACCCTAGCAGCGAGCATTGGATGGAATGAGGCGGCTCTTCTAGTTATCTTCAGCCAAGGACTGAATGCAGATATGTTGAGTGAACTAGCTAGTAAGGACAATGACTTAACACTAGATCAATTAATCACACTAGCTATAAAGTTAGACCATCTTCTGCATCACTGTAATAAAGCTAAGGGCAAAAGAAACCTCTGAAGAACACTCCCTCGAGTGCGAATCACTCATGAGACCTCGGAACCCACAGAGCCAATGCAATGTGACTCTTCGTGGCTGTCCCAGGAGGAGAGGTTGCACCACTTAAACAACCATCTCTGTCTATATTGTGGAAAGGCGGGACATCAAGTACGCGAGTGTCGAGCCAGACCACAACAAAGCAAGGCGCCGACCCCTGGACAGCACGTGCTAATATGGTGAGTGTGCCCACAAAGGGGTTGGTTTCGAAATCTGTCCTGTTACCTGTGACTATTTACTGTCATCCCCATTCTCTTGTCCTTTCCGCTTTGATCGATTCCGGTGCGGAAGTAAACTTCAAATTCCTGCAAATTCCTGTGAAGACTCTCCAAACTGTGCTTAAAGTGGCCATGTTGGATGGAGGACCAGTAGGAGTGGGCACCATTTCCAGAGTCACGACACCTTTAGAATTGCAGACCAGTGCACTCCATAAAAAACCTTGTCCTTCATAGTTCTCAAACAATCCGAATTTGAATCAATCCCAGGACTTCCCTGATTAGAAAAACACAACCCTACCATTTGATGCTCTGAACATACCATGACAAAGTGGTCAGATTATTGTGTTCAATCCTGCCTGACAACTCCATCTATGTCTATATTGTCCACCTCGATAGAAAGCCCCAGTGTTGATGCCACCTTTGTCATTCCTCCTGAGTACTTAGATTTAAAGGAAGTATTTAACAAACACAACGCCATAACGGGGGGGATCTATGATTAAGGATATCCATTCCTTTGTGTCCTCCTGCTCGATTTGCTCCCAGTTTAAGACACCGAAGACGTTACCAGCAGGGAAATTAATGCCCTTGCCCGTACCTAACAGGCCCTGGTCCCACATCGCCATCGACTTTGTCACATTCTTACCCGAATCACAAGGGTATACGACGGTTCTAACTGTGGCTGACAGATTCTGATCTGTGTTTTGGAACCATTTTGCCTGCCTTTTCGACTACGTCTTTTGCCTTGCCCTTTTGTTTTTGTTGGCCTGGTGTTATGATCACCATTGTGATCCTTCTGTTTTTTTTGGTATTGACCCATGCCTGTTCTTTGACCATGTTTTTGCCTTGTGATGATAAAAACCAATCTTATCCGTTTAATCCACAAGCGTCTGGATTCTGCTGACTCGTTACAGAATGTCTGTTCCCATATCCCATTTAGGTTATGAATATAGTTCATTTGTAAGATAAGTGTTAAAGATTTTTTCATTATTTGTATTTTTATATGTATTTTTACATTAATATTTTTCTTGTGGATTTTATTGTTTTATTTCATGCTTTTGGCCCAAAATGAGCTCAGTTAAGGACACCTGTTTCTCATGTTTGCTGAATGGTGAGTCTTTTCATTTGCTGTTTATTGTTAGTTGCTAATATAAGCTAGATTAACTACAATATTCTCTGAACTGCTCAAACTTAGACTTACTGAACCATCCAGCACTTTGATGTTAATATTGAGGTGGTGTTGTGCAGATTGTTCAGATGAGATTAACTTCAGCACTGTATTAACCACGTTATCTATGCAGTAACTTAATTATACTCACAGAATATCTTAAATAAATACACAGAGTAAGTATGTAAATGCACCTCAAGTCTAGTAGATAGAGAATAGAAACTGACTAGATTGTTTCCTTCATTTTGCTGTACTTCATTTGTTTGTGTGATTTAACATCATTCATGAACACACGCCATGGTTCAGGATTACTTTTTCAATTCCAGAACAGATTCTGGACTATTAAAAATGTTCTGGGCTAAAGCACAATAGTCCAGACCCAGTCATATTGTAAAAATTCAAATATCAAAATTCAAAAAGTTGGCAAGAAAAACATCATTATGCACAAAAAACATGAACTGAACATAGAGACACAGTCTTAAAGAGCAGGTTACCTGTGATGATGAGGGACAGAGGCTCACTCTCAGAGGAGAAGTTATGGATGAAAGGACCAGGAGACCACTCATCGTAACGTCTTTGAACTTTAAACTTATTCTGAAAGATCACTTGGTTCTCATAGACACAGCTGTAGTTCCCCTGGTGGGAATCATCTGCAGCAGGAAAGAGGAAGGAGGCTGAGTGATTGACAGCTGTCTGGGTGTGGCTTCTGCTGCTCCAGGGCAGGTTGAGGTAGAAGGAGCCTCCTGGGTACTGCGGCTGAGTGGAGCAGGTGATGGTGAAGCTGTGGCCCCTGAACGCCTCTGACCCCTGGAGACCCCTGGACATTATTATGGTAGCAGAGACAGAGATGTTGGGCTGCACCAGGATTCCTGTAAATATGCAAAAAAATAAAAAAAATTGCACGTGGTCCAATAACTCTTTCCCCCATAGCCCTGACTTACCTGAACAGATCACGCTAACTCTGTCCTGGGAATGAAAAATAACTCCAAAGCTGCATTCCCTCAGTGCAGTTTCAAAACCTACACACTCAATCATAGGATCCCATTTGGGCAGGTTTTTCTCAGGCTCTCTGTGTGTGGCTGCAACAGCAGAGCCACAGCCCAGCTGTCTGCACACAACATCAGTTTCACGCATGGACCATTTATATCCATTTACTTTCCTCCACTCTCCACTATAAAACATCTCCACTGTTCCAGCACAGCGACTGTCCTCCTCCACCAGTCTCACATCATCAGGTCCTGGACAGAGAAAGAGAAGATGCTCACTGCATTAGCTGCCATTCACAAATCAGACATGTTTATTACAGTTTTAATACCACTTTCCCTCGGATTCATTATACTCTGTTACCTGAACAGGTGAGTCCCACAGCTTTGCCGCCTGTGCAGGTGTTCTCCTCTCTGTTTGAGGTTCTACAGGTGAGGAGACGGTTCTCTGTGCCTTTACACTGGAACTCTTTGGTCCCAAATGGGAGTTTCCCTTCTCCAAAGAGCGCCCCCTGTAGAGTTAGTGGAGTCCCACAGTCCAGCTCCCTACAGACTACCTCTGCATCCTGCCAGTCAAAGCCAGTCTCACATACTGTGGTCCAGGACTGATGGGACTTCACCTCCAGTCTCCCAGAGCAGCGTCCAGCTCCATCTACAAGCCTCACAGAGTCTAAGAACATACAGGTCAGTACAGAGTGAGTAATAAAACATTTCTTAATTAAACAATTCTATTTCCATTATCAAAATTATAACAGAATTGACAAGGTTTGGACTGATTCACAGAAAAACTAGAGTGTTTTGTCCAGTGTTCCACTAAACATAATCCAAGACTTGTACGACAGCATTTGAAGAAGGACTGACACTGTGTTCTAACATCAAGAGAGCATTCAGATGTAGTACTACAATGCAATGCAAAGCCTTCAGGATGTTTGCTCTGGAAATGTCAAGAGTTAAAATGTTCAAAAAGTTAAAACATAAACATAAACAAACCATGGAGCTATCAGAAAATAGCTGCTCCACTGATGGAGTTACCGAAAAATGATAACATTCTCATGACAACATTGTTTTCTTCACGACGGCTAGGTAGAAATGGAAGGTTCAGGCAGAAGTTAGGACACTGTTGGGGTTCATCCTAAAACGAGGACAGTGTTTACCAAATGTGGGTAAGTTATGTTGTTTCTGAGATGCTTTTATTCTTATCTGGAGATTATAAAGTTAGGAATAGTTATTCTGAATTCAGTCTTACCTACTGTGGTCATGACGACTAAACAGATTAGATTTCAGATTCAGGATGTTTCTGTAATACGGCCCCATTTTCAGTTCAGTCTGTTTCTGTTTGTCCTTTTACGTTAATTACACTTTTGAATTAACAGCACAACAGAGTCCTGCTAGAAACGTTACTCGCACATTCTTTATTCTATGTGCTGAATTACCTGAACACACGGACACCACGTCAGAGGAGTTTCCAGAATAGTTTGAAATCCTGCATTCACTCACTGCCGACTCAGATCCGCCACAGAAAGTGATAACACCCTGTTTATCCTCATCTCCCTCAGGCTCTCTCTGTTCAGCAGCAACAGCAGAGCCACAGTCCAGCTGTCTGCACACCACAGCGGACTTTCTCCTGCTCCATCCAGCTTCTCTTACTGTCCTCCAGTCTCCATAATGAAACACCTCCACTGTTCCAGCACAGCTGCTGCTCCCATTAACCAGTCTCACCTCTTCAGGACAGAGAGAGGATAAAAGGTCAATCAGTAAGAGCAATCAGGTCATCATCATGTGTTCATTTAAACCTTCAAAGTTGAATTTCCATCTAGAATACTGCTATACTCGAAGAGCACCTCGTCATTTTAGTCTCACTTTTTTAAAGTCAGTGGAAGAACAATTCAATGAGCATCTGGCATCTAAACAGTTTACTAAAGACATTCCAATCTGTTTCATTCTAACTTATTATTGTGATAGCGTTGGTCTGCATTGTGAATAAACTGAGTTTCAGTGCTGATTAATATAAACCGCCTATTCCAAAGTCAAGACTCTGTCAACAGGCTAACAAATTAAAGTTGTGTCATGTATCTTTCAGTGGGTGTCACAAAACTGTTTGCAGCTTAATCAGAACAAAACCATGATAGTGATACTTGGTACTAAACCGAGCAAAACTGACTGGGGAGAAATGATGTTAAGTTTATGATCTGTTCTCTGTTTCATACATCATTTAAATAATGTTACAAATGTTGCATTCTCAGCTCAGATACCTTAGCATCACATTTGAGAGATCCTTCACAACAGCAGTAGATAATCAATTTTTAGTTTGTTTTTTTTTAATGCAACAATAAGAACATTTACAAACACAGGAATTGTAAGTACAATGTTCATATAGAGGATAAAAAACAGCAGAGATGGCTTATAATCATAGTTTAAACATGAAAAGCATATGATAACAGATGTGGCTCAGTTTAATAGAAACTATTCAATAAGACATTATATCTGGTATTAATATAGTGGCAGCAGGAAATAATCACAGGTATAAGCAGCAAAACAAAATGCATTATTAGTATGGGTATAAAGAAAGAGACGAAAAAGAGGGGAAAAAACAGGGGAGGTTCATATTTATAGAGCACCAAGAAGTATTTATATGTTTTTAGTGAATATTTGAGTGACTATTTTTCATGTCTCCTTCTTCCTCCAGCAATAGACTGTGTTAAATATAGACAGTTTATTTAAATTTATTTCGTTCAATCGCCCAATTTCTGACCTTATATTTAAAGAATTTCCATATACTTGCCCCCTTGTAAGGGCCTGGTCCAGAGCTCTACCTGCACTGGCCACTAGAGGAGGACTACTCCTAATCAAGGGAGATCCACTACACTGGTGGCACATTCTGATTAAGAGCCAGGCTGAGTTTCAGCCTCGCTCAGTCTTTGTATGAATTTCCTTACAAATGCCTCTGCCAGTAATCTCGGTAGAGGCAAAAGGATTCATCGCATGTGTCTCTTTTTTCACTCTTAAGCCTCTTGAGACCTATTCTCTCTCAAGTTGCTGCCCTGTGATCAGCTCAAAAGGAAAGAAGATACGACAACTGTGTGAAGAATCTACAGGAAATAATATTTGTTTGATGTGACATTAATAAAAATATTAACTAAAGAACTTCCAGCTGGTATTAGTATTATTAGTGGTCAGTCTTCTTTCACCTTGTGTTTCTATTTGCTTTGGGAAGGATTGTTTGGCATTTTCTGTTGTTTATTGCCCTGTGCTAGCCAGCTTCCCTGGCAGTCCTTTGTTCTCCATCTTGCCTTAGTGAATTTGGTGGGAATTCTAGTTTTCCAATACCTGTGTGGGAGAACCAAACTAATGTCTGTGCCTCTGTTGAGTCATATATGGTGGCGTGGCACTGTACCTTCGACCACCCGGTCTGCATAGGAGGTTTAGTCCCCACCTCCTTTGCACATGCTAGGGGAGGAGGTCAGTGGTGGACTACGCCATTGAGATCTACACTCTAGCAGCTGAGAGTAATTGGAATTCAGTCACACTCATGGCTGCCTACCATTAAGGCCTGAGTGAGGAGCTCAATGAAGAGCTGGCTCCTAGAGAAACTTCTTTGTCTCTAGCGCATCACGCTTTGAGTCAGGCAGCACTCTGAACAAGTTTCTTTGTCCCTTATAAGCACTCCCGAACTGCAGGTAGTGCTGGGTTTCCTCTGGCTGCGCCATCACAACACCCTGTATCAACTGGCTTTCTCGGTCTGTGGCAGCCCGAGGACCCGATGCCAGGGGATGTGTCTATAGCCCTCCATCCAAGCTCACCAACCGTTTGATTGGGCCATTGGTCTCCTACCTGGAACTAGTTCTCCCTGAGGCATCTTGGCTTACATCCAGCAGGACTCCCCGTCAGACCAGATGGGCTCTCTTCTTCATCCGGTTCAATTTCGATTGCGAAAAATGAAAAAATGCCAAGCTTGATGCCCTTTCTTGCCAGTGGGAGTTATCATGGGGTTGTCTGCATTCCAAGGCAACTCTATGATCAAGGTGGTGGTCAACCAGTTCTCCCAGGCCTGAAAACTTATTGCAGTACCCTGCCTCCACCATGGAGTTTAGATCCACGGGTTACCACTGGGCATAATGTCTGACTGAGGTCCTCAGTTCACCAGTCTGTTTTGTACAACGCTGCTGCAGAGTGTGGCAGAGAGCCCAGAGAGCCCTTTAGGCTGCCCCTGTGGTCCAGAAATATGCAGTTCACCGGAGGTGGCGGCCAGGACTCACATTTAGGCCAGGAAAGAGGTTCTGGCTCTCTGCCAAAGACCTCCCACTGCATGGACCCATTTCAGATGCTTCATACTGGCTGCTCCTTCTGCGTTCCATGTGCATTAGCCTCACATTTCATGCCCGATGCCTGTGCTCTGTAGCATCTCTGCCCCAACCCTGGCCCCTTCAGTCCCTCATCTCATTGAGGAGTCTCCTGCCTACATGCCTTGACAGCTCCTGGACGTGTGCTGAGTACAGGGTGGTATTCAATACCTGCACTGGCCACCAGAGGGCAATGTGGGACTACTCCTAATCAAGGGAGATCCACCACACCTGTGGCATGGTCTATTTAAGAGTCATGCTCAGTTCCAGCCTTACTCAGTCTTTATATGTACTTCCTTACAGTTGACTCGGCCAGTAACCTGGGTTGGCAGTATTAAATATAGCTTTATCTATATCTTTAAAATCACTGTTAAATATGGTTTCTTTCAGCAGAGATTTGTTACATTTCCAGTAAGCTCAAATTCCCGGAGCATAATTTACCCCATTAAAACATACAGCTATCAGTTTCTGATCAGATAAAGAAGAATGATTGTGAAACGCCTCTTTAACAAAATGTAAAACAGAAGTTGAGATAAAGATAAAAATCAATTCTTGATTACAGATCCAACTACTATTAAACCATGGAAAATGTCTCATATTGGGATGGAAGAAATGCCATGTGTCCATCCTTACAAGATTAGATTAAAATTAAGCGACCCTTATTAGTCCCACAATGGAGAAATTTCACCTCTGCATTTAACCCATCCATGCAGCGAAACACCACATACACACTAGTGAACACACACACTAGGGAGCAGTGAGCACACTTGCCCAGGGTGGTGAGCAGCCCTGTCCGCAGCACCTGGGGAGCGGTTGGGGGTTGCCGGCTCGCTCCTCAGAGCCGACAGAATGTGACTAAGGTACCTTTGAGCTTTGGGGAGCGAGCCGGCGACCCTCCGGTCACAGGGCTGGTTCCCTAACCTCCAGCCCGTGACTGCCCCTTATTGAAAGAGTTACGAAGGGCCCTGCATTCATGTCACCTTTGTAGCCACTTTTGCAAGGTTGTCCATCACCAGCACTCTGACATTCTCACTATCCATCTCTTTTGCACTGTGTAGCTTTAAGCCTATCTTCTGCCATATTGCTGTAAATCAGCTGTGCAACCTTTAGGCTTTCTCTGCCTCTCCTTCCATGCGAGCAAGCTTTTCTTCTTGGTGGTGAACTTCCAACAGCTGTTTCACAGTGGGGGAAATGCTTCTCAGCGTTTCGGAGTTGGCTTCAGTAGACTTTTGAATGTATTTAATCTTTCTGATGCTTATTATGACATAACAGCTGTAGCGAGCTAACAGGTCAATTACACTGTATTTCACAGGAGTACTGCACTTTTTAACAAATGAGCAGCATATCAAAATCATTACTGTAGAATTCTGTAAAACAGCAACACAGAATGTAAAAAAGAAAATGCCAAACTTGAATGTCTTTTATAAGCAGTTCCAAATGTCCATGTACAACTGCTAGCATAATACTGTGAATCCCGCAAGGGTGCTAATAGAACTAGCATTACTGCAGTGGTGTAAAAAGCAGATAAAAAGGCTTCTTATGAAGTATTTTAAAACATTTCTGCATTAAACACTGCCATGTATTAAAATACTAAAAATTTGACAGTATATGTCCATGTAAACAGCATACTTTACAGTGTCTTCAAACATGGCTCAGCCAATCAGATTTTAGAACTGAACTACCTGGCCCAACAAGCACCAACTGCAGACTATGGGAGTTGGACGTTGTGGGCTTAAAAAATTATCCACGATGGATCACAACTCTAGGGGGCGTTTCACTCTGTGTAATACTCCATAAAGCTATTGACATGGAATAAAAGATTGTCTGAGTGAATCCAAATTTTGGGCTAAGTGTAAATCAGCCCTGCCTTAGCCACTTCTTATTTTTCTTATGACCTTTTTTTGGTGCTGTTTTTCTTGGGTGCACAGAACTCCAAAACACTTACATTATTATTATTATTATTATTATTATTATTATTAGTATTATTACATGTATTGTGTAATTCCTACCTGAACAGGTGAGTCCCACAGCTTTGCCATGTGTGCAGATGTTCTCCTCTCTGTCTGAGGTGCTGCAGTTGAGGAGATGGTTCTCTGTGCCGTTACACTGGGATTCTTTCTTCCCAAATGGGAGTTTCCCTTCTCCAAAGAGCGCCCCCTGTAGAGTTAGTGGAGTCCCACAGTCCAGCTCTCTACAGACTACCTCTGCATCCAGCCAGTCAAAGTCAGCCTCACATACTGTGGTCCAGGACTGATGGGTCTTCACCTCCAGTCTCCCAGAGCAGCGTCCAGCTCCATCTACAAGCCTCACAGAGTCTGAGAACATACAGATCAATACTGAGTAAACCTCCCTTATTTCTACACTCTTTATCCATTTTACCAGTTTATCAGCTCTACTTACCAAATTGCATATTTGTGCACTTTTATTTCTACAGTTACTGACTGTAGTTCATCTGTTTCTCTACGTACTTTGTTAGCTCTCTTTCACCCTGTTATCCAATGGTCAGGACCCCTACGGGACCACCACAGAGCAAGTATTATTTGGGTGTTTGTTCTTCAATGGTCAGAACGACCACAAGAGTGAAAGGGGGCTAACAAAGTATGATGCAAAGTATTCAAATGCTCACTCCCAGATGGTGTAGATGACTGCAGATTAAGGTCAGCTTTACCTGTCCTGCAATTCACTTGAAACTTGGCTAAAACAGTTGCAAGCATCCCAGAACAAGTTTCATGGAACAACAAATGAAAACAGCTAATGCATCATGTGATCACTTCAAACAACATTGAACCATTGACTTCTCCAGATCAGCGAACACAAAAATAAAACAGAAGATGCTTTATAGGCCAGCTGAATAGGAGACCACCCTCTCCACTAACTTAAGGTTTGTAGTTTTTCAATTTGCCAGTTTTTTAAACCAGAACAACAAACATTTCTCAACGCTAATGTTTATATAACCAACTTCATTAACTTACCAGCCAATGCTAACAGCCGTTTAAGCAGCAGATTGTGCCACCATGTACTCTTTTTTAGCTGCTGTTATCATTTACTATATAGGAATGAACCACAGACAGATAGCTGATGGCAATGACAGCTGGAAAAACATAGAAAGATGATAAAATGACATAACTCTTTGATGTAAACTACATAGCTGTCTAATTTGTCTGACTTTGTTTTTAAACTGTTTCATGTAGCTGTCAAGTTGCACTGAAAATATGTTGCAGGTGACTCACAGCGTGAACCTGTTCCATGAAAATTTCTGGGGTTGGACCCAAATATTCCACTATTCGCATATTCAGTCGATGTGTAAGAATTTTTAATTTCAGAATGTTTTTTGGCTAAATGTAGACGGTTCAGGATTCTCGGGAGAAACTTTAAGATGGTTTAAGGTTATGGTTTGAATGTTATCTGTTGATGAGTGCAAAAACTACAGAGTCCCAATAAAAGATATTCGGGACAGCAATAAAATTTCCCTGTGTAAAGCCAACCTAAGGCTTTAATTACATATTTGTTAAACCATGTTTAAAATGGTGCAATACAATTTAAAATAAAACTAAAAATACATTAACAAATAATTAGACAGATTTACCTGAACACACCGATACTGCATAAGGGAAGGATCCATAAACTCCAGTAAATCTGCATTTATTCAGCACAGACTCAGATCCTTTACAGTGAGCAAAAAAACCATATTCCTCTGTCTTAGGCTCTCTCTCTGTAGCTGTAACAGCAGAGCCGCAGTCCAGCTGTCTGCACACGACAGCAGCTTCTGTCCTGGTCCATCCATCTCCATATATTTTCCTCCAGTATCCATTACTAAGCAACTCCACTGCTCCATCACAGCGACCGCTCCCACCCACCAGTCTCACATCAGGTTCTGCACAGAGAGGAGAGAAAGATACTCACTGCATGAGGAACCACTCACAGAGAAAAACACATCAAATCAGACCGCCACATTGTTTCTGTTGTAAATTGTCGCCTGGGGGCTCACTTGGGGGAAACATTGTAAGGGGTCCTTTTAAGACGGAGGATGAATACATGAGTTTTTTAAACTTTGATTTCATCATTAAAATGTTTTGTTATTATGTTTGGTGTTTTCAGGGTGTCAACTGAAAGTTCCACAGCAAATCTGAAATAAGATTTGTAAGATGGAGTTATGAATTAACTTAATATTGGGGGAAGGACCACGCCCGAAACTCTTCTTACTCACTCTACCTGATAAATTCTCTCCTCTCTCTTCAGTTTCTTGTGACAATAACACTGTTTGGGTCCCCCAAAACGCCCTCCCCCGGATCTCCTCCCACTCTTCCACGATTGCTCTGTTACTGAGTGCTGAAGTGGGGAGGGGGGCTTTCGCTTCCTCAAACACAACGAAAGCCACCCAGAACTCCTGCCAAAGCTTCTCAGAGTTTCCCCTCCTCTGTCTCCAGCTGAGTTTGGGGTGTGTTCCAAACTGGCAAATCTGCATGTGCTATGATAAAACTTTGTATGTACAGTCTTCAGATTACAACTAGCAATCTTAATTAACTTTTAAAAAACTTTTTTTTTAATTTTTCTAGCATATGCACTTCCATTCTGTTTCTAAGCTCTCCAGACAGGAATGTAGATGTGAACAACGATATTCTGTCTTTAAACTATCTACTCCACTGCATGCTGGGTGTCCCACATGTCTTCTGGAGACAGTGATAAGTACTGTCTTTAGTTTTCTGCTTGTTCCACTCTGCATCCCATGTTACAAACTACTACACCCAAACCTTTTTCCCTGGGCCTCTGGAGGCTGGTATCTAGCCAAAGTCAGCCACGGACTGCTAATGCTAGTTTCATCATTCTGTTATTCTTAGTGTTTGTTTTTCCATGTCAGACTGCTGTTTGCGCTAGAAGCTGCTAGCCAGCCAGGCTAACGCTAATGCCTGACAGAGGTGGCCGAAGTGCACAATTTGATTTCCTTTACAAGAAGATGGACATTTGTTGGAATCTTGACTAGAAAACAAAACTTTTCTTTATAGTGTGAGAGAGAAGGAAGTGAGCAGGAAACAGAAAAACCCAGTGGATTGATTTCCAGAGCGGAAATGTCTGCTGCTCCACTCCTCTCACATGCTCTGGTGTAAACTGTGTGGTAGTAAGGAAGTGACCCTTGAGATGTCCAGAAACCCACAGTCACCCTGTTGAAAAGGTAATAAACAAGATAATACAGTACTGTAATAGTATTGTGTACTGTGTGCTGTGATACTAATAGTATAATAGTATTACCTACACTACTCATTGGTTGGGGGGACTTGCTACCAGGATACACTTCTGAAGAAACTCCCTCTCCAGCAACATTTCCCATATAGAAAAAATATAAGGACATATATTTTTATATATTTGAATTACACTTCAAATACATTGCCATCCATGGCAAAACATGTTCCAAACACTACAGTGTATTTCAGTGTATATTGCCAGATTAACTGAATATATTTTAAAATGTATGGGGAGGTATTACATACAGAAATCTATCAAAAATATACGTAAATGTATTTGTGAAATACATTTGAAAATGTATGAAAATAGCCCAAACACTTTGTCTGATGCACTTTACTGTTTGGATTCCTTTCAAAATGAATTTGTATTCCAGTATCTTAATTTTGATTATTTCGATCTTAATTTTAATTATTATTATTATTATTAAATGAACCTTTACAGTGGCAAAATCATGTATTTCTGATACACTGTGAATGCAGTTTGATGATTTGATGAGAGCTTTTTCATTTTTTTTTATTTATTACAGTTTGACTCAGCACTGTTTTACCACATATGCACACAGTACAATGCAGAACACAGAAGTCAGTCCCATTCATTCAGTTCACGTATATTTAGTTATATCTTTAATCTCAAAATTACATACAATTGAAAAATATAACAACATAACACAAATAAATGCACTTTAAATATATACTGAAGAAATACATTTTTTGGCCATTCTCATATACTGATATATGATAAATACATCTGGAGAATATTTTTTCCATATGGGTTTATTCAGCCAATATATAGAATTTTTAGTAAGTAGGTCATTTTAATTTGCAGGACAGAAATATGCAGTATTTGAATCAGTCGCTTTACCCAGAATGTACATAACTCCAAATTCTACAGTGGCAAAACTGATCTGAGCTGATCTGGAAGTGAATTATTTTATTCTCATTTCTATTTATTCTACAGTGTGAGATGTTATGGATCTAACTTATGAAAATTAACCTGAAAGATTTTAATACTAAAGTAAACTAAACATTACCTAACAGTTCTGAAACGTAGAAGGTCTCATAAGCAGTAAAGTCAGTTTAATTTTTGGAATATCGTTCTTCAGTACTTTTTAAATGATGGGTGCTAAATGTTAATATGTGTCAGATTGTCTGTAACTAAGACAATCTGCTGGAACTCTTCTTTATAAACTCTTGGGTGGAGGTGTGGTGAGTTAAGGGGAGCTGTTACACTGTTAGAAATAAAGGATCTGTGCAGGTACATTTTTCGTTCATCAAGGTACAAAAAGGGGGAAAAGTGGTTTTAAGGTCTGATTGTGCACCTTAAATATGTTTTTCCATGTGAAAAGTTCATATTTGTATCTTTTTATAACCGAATGATTTAAAACAGAACAATAAAATAAAAGTCCTGGAGACGAGACGGGGTGTGTGGAGTCAGTACAGCTTAGAACATATCATTTCAGTGGATTATGGTACAGTTATGTTCCCTGACTAAAGGTACTGAGATGGACCCTTGAGGGTCCCACCCCAGGGACAAGAGGGGCACTGACCCAGTGACAGTTTAGGACCCTTATTTCCTGAAAGTGTACAGGACTCTACAGGATCACGATGCACTTTAATAAGAGAATTGTACTTTTCTGACACATTTTTACTTCAAATAGTTAAAAATATCAACATTTAACAATGTTAGCAATGTCATCTGACAGACATAAACATAATGCTACCCTAAAGAAATAGTGAATGACTTTGTTCACCTGTTCTTCTTTGGCCTCTTTGCTTTATTTCCCTTTTGAGGTTTGTCGACCTGGTAACGGGGGGCTAACCCATTTTCTGTAAGATCATTTCGCTGTGAGAAACTCCACACTAATAAATTCAGCTGCAACGATGACAGAAAAGTCAAGAATTACATCTACTGCTCACTTTTCGTGATTCAACTTCAGTCCTGTCAAAGTCAGCAGCTAACATGAGGAGGTTTCGATCCATGAAGTGCCATCCAATATCCTGCCAAAAGCTCTTATAGAGCACCATTTACCACAGCTAGATAGATGATCAATACCTGCTTATATCAACACAAGTAGCCAACCACCATAAGCAAGCCTACATCAGTCTGTGATCACAGCAGAAGTTTCTACTGTAAGTTAAAGCCAGTCAGTCCACCACTGCTGTCTGAGTCCTACCTGCAGTGGAGCAGATGATTATCAGTATCACAGCAGTTAGCGCGGCTGCTGGAGACTGGAGCTCCATCGTCTATGATCCAGCGTCTCTGCCCGTCTGTATGAGATGGGTGGGTCCGCTTGACTGAGTGAGTGTTTGCATCGCCCCTCTTTGTCTGTTTTTTTTTTTGTTCTGTTTCTCTGCTGTCTGCTATAGAGCCCTCCCAGTGGTGGCGTTAGTTCGACATGAGAGAACCTAGAAGAAATGAGGGCAGTGGAAGGTGGAGCTCCAGCTCTAACGCTGCCTTTGAGTGGTGTTGAAAACTGGGATATACCAAGGCCCAGTCCCATTTCTGATTTATTACCCCTACCCCTTGTTTTCGTGTATCACCTTGCCTCATTAACAGCTACTAGCGCTGCTCTGTAGGTGACCCTGCCAGTCTGCAGTGACAGCAGAGGAGGGTAAAGTTCAGCTCCTCACTGCTGGGCTTCAGTTCATTTTAGGGCATCATATGCTTTCAAAGAGGGGGGCAATTATTTATTATCACCCACCCCTCATTCTTTGGTGATAAGAAGCTGAAGTCAGATATTCACCAGCTTCTTGTTCAAATTTTTCGCATTCCTCCTTAAATAGAGCAGCAGATGCCTGAGGCGGCAGAGTGTAACTGCTGCACCATTTAAGGTGGAACGGATAATTTAAGATGGAACGAGACATTAGCATACTACTAGCGATTTTGAAGCTTGTTATGAAGAAAAGGACCCCTACCCCTCTATCTCAACAAAAAACAGGACACCCTACCCCTAAACGTGAATGAGCTGAATGGAGGAGTAAGGGCTAAGAGCTAGGGGCAGGGGGGGGGGTAAAATGGGATTGGGCCCCGAATCGTATTTACAACTGGATTTAAACTGGGTTCTAGATGATACACAAGTTTATGCAGAGTGAAAATCTGGCAGTGAACATTAAAAGTATATAACTGATGTGCTTCTATTAGGTCTGTGTGCTTTTTAGCTCAGGAAAGAAAACGCAGGATCTTTTCCAGATCTCCACACTTTTTTTTTCGCGTAAAGGGATTATGTATTTACGAACAAGCACGGGAACGGAGTACATCTCAATGCAGCATAAGATGACAGCTGCAGGCAGTTAGAGGACTGTTTCTGATGAGCATTCTTGGGATTTTTTTGAGATATACATAAAGCAGTACTGCCATTGTGACTGCATACATAAAACAAATAAAAGCAGGGGGAACTGAGGTGAAAAGAAGCCAGCATAAGAACAGTTTTAGCAGCTGTGGGAATTTTTTTAAGTCACAATAGTATTTTATTCAGCTTAAAATAAGGGGAAACAAGGTTTTATATGTGTATATATATATATATATATATATATATATGTATATATATATATATATATATATATATATATATGTGTATATGTGTATATATATGTGTGTGTGTATATATATATATGCATATATACATATCTATCTATCTATCTATCTATCTATCTATCTATCTATCTGTCCACACACATATATCTATCTATAAATATTTATATATATATGAACCAACTGGTAACAGTCACGGCCTAGTAGCACACAAGTAGTTTCCTTTTTTTAGCTGGTGTTGTGTATTTTTCCAAATAAACCATACAAACCGTACATGGGGCAGTCATGAGCTGAAGGTTAGGGAACCAGCCATGTGACCGGAAGGTTGCCGGTTCGATTCCCTGCACCGACAGTGCGTGACTGAAGTGCCCTGGAGCAAGACACCTAACCCCCAACTGCTCCCCGGGTGCCGTGGATAGGGCTGCCCACTGCTCTGGGCAAGTGTGCTCACTGCCCCCTAGTGTGTGTGTTCACTAGTGTGTATGTGGTGTTTCACTGCACGGATGGGTTGAATGCAGAGGTGAAATTTCCCCGTTGTGGGACTAATAAGGGTCACTTAATCTTAATCAAATACGTTATTAATGAGCATACAGGTAAAATCTTGACCATAAAACAGGATAAAAATCTAGAGACACAACTTTACTTAAAAGGACCCTTCCTAATATTGCCAAATCTCTTGGAAGCAAATTATTGGAAATCGTTTTAGTTTTACTTAACCTTGGAAAAAAAGTCTCTCTCTCTCTCTCTCTCTCTCTCTCTCTCTCTGAAATTTTTTTGTAAATATTAATGCCAAGATACTTCACTCTCTCCTTAACAGGTATATTAAATAATAAGGTTTCATGACATTCATAGAGACATAACATTTCATATTTTGACAAATTCATTTTAACCCAGACGCCTCAGAAAACTTATCAAAGATACTGAAACTGTTGTGCCTTGTCCCTCTCTTTCTTTGTTTCCTTGTTTTCATCTGCCATGTGCTTTTGTTTTCTAGTCCATGTGCTTTTGTTTTCTAGTCCATGTGCTTTTGTTGTTGTTGTTTTAGCTCCTCCCCTGTTCTGCCACGTCTTCAGCCCACACTGTTTCTTGTTCTTAGCTCCACCCGTCATTGTCCTCAGCTGTCTCTTGTCCTGAGTGTTTGTGTATATATACTCCTTGTTCCAGTCTCGTCTTTGCTTGCCATTAAATGTGTGTATGTTGTGGATTGTTTCTACGTCAGTTGTAGCTTTGATGCAGTGTTATTGTCGTAGTTTCGCTCCTTTAGTTCCGAATCATTTCTAGTTTGTTTTCCTGTATATTTCTCCTGTTTTTGCCACGGACTCTAATAAAACCAACTCACACTTGCATCCTGCTTCATCTCCTGCTTACCCAACGTTACAGATACTCCCGAAGAAATTGTTATTCATTAATTAAAAATAGATATATCTTGAATATCTGGACAACTTACATATGTAAAGAAAGCAATTCCACTATAATAAGAAACAAAACTGGAGAAAAAGACCATCCTTGATGATCAGAAATCTTTTGGAAGTGCTGGGGTACAGAATAACAGAACTAATGTGCTTATGTCACCACCCTAAATAGAGGGACTTAGAGACCGCGGATGAAACACAAGTGCAGTTTCCTCGTAGAGGCTTTATCTTGAATGAATAATGATGTATAACATAAAACAAGACTTGTTTACACGCTTCTACATACTGTTCAATCTCTCCGTTGCATAATCCACACTTTCTTTTTAAACAAAAAAGCCTTATAACGTGCAGAATAAAGCCTGTCGATTACATCTCGCATATTTTGTAACTCTGATAACATTACTAAAATATACAAAAATATGCTGAAGATTTTCTAACTACATCAGTAAATGAACAGCTCTTGAAAGAAATTAGTTTCATGGACTATATCAATCTGCCATTATCGTTAATCTAGTCTGCCATGCACATAGTAATACAGTGAAATGGCGCCGCTGACCTCCTTAACTAACGATTTCCATCATTCAAACTACTAGAGAACTTACAACCTATTAGAATAAATGCATATAACGGAAACATAAATCTTTCATAGTTGACGGCAATTTCTGAGTGGTCATGGAACTCCATAAGCTCTGGTTTTTCCATTTGAGTTAGCTATCCTAATATCCTCACTAGACTTTTCTAGAAACGATTAACACCATTACTACATTAGCTTTTTTTTTTTTTACAAACAACATAACTATTTTTAGCTTAAGATGTCTTTACTATAACAATTTTGACTATATGGACCTGTATTTTCTTGGATTCCTACCTAAATAGAGGGAGTAAGAGAACACGGATGAAACACAAGTGCAGTTTCCTCATAGATGGCTTTATCTTAAATGAGGAAAAGCCCGTACTATGGCAGATCACCATAGTAAGGACTACTGGTAGATTTCCTATTTTAAAGAACAGCTAAGCTTTACGTCTTTCAATACTCTTGATCATGGATTAACCATGATTTTCCTACTTTTTACACGTGAAATCTCAAATGGCTCCAGAGTTATGAGTTTACCACCAATGAATTTTTTCTATGTATAAGCAACTGGGCAACAAAATGTACAACTAAAGTATTGCTCTATGTTACGTAAGTCCCACTATTTTAACTTGCCACACTTATGAAACATTTTAATAATGGATATGCAAATATTCTCAAAGCATTGAAAAGAAACTGATGTTCAATCATATCAAAGGCTTTATAGAAATCAAAATAAATAATTAGTACCTCATTTTGATCGAATATTACAGCTTACAGGTGGTGGATCATTCTCAGCACTGCAGTAACACTGACGGGGTGGTGGTGTGTTAGTGTGTGCTGTGCTGGTACGAGTGGATCAGACACAGCAGTGCTGCTGGAGTTTTTAAACACTGTGTCCACTCACTGTCCACTCTATTAGACACTCCTACCTTGTCAGTCCACCTTGTAGATGTAAAGTCAGAGACGATAGCTCATCTGCTGCTGCACAGTTTGTGTTGGTCATCCTCTAGTCCTTCATCAGTGGTCGCAGGACGCTGCCCACAGGACGCTGTTGGCTGGATATTTTTGGTTGGTGGACTATTCTCAGTCCAGCAGTGACACTGAGGTGTTTAAAAACTCCAGCAGCACTGCTGTGTCTGATCCACTCAGACCAGCACAACACACACTAACACACCACCACCACGTCAGCATTACTGCAGTGCTGAGAATGATCCAGCACCCAAATAGTACCTGCTCTGTGAGGGTCCATGAGGGTCCTGACCACTGAAGAACAGGGTAAAAGGGGGCTAACAAAGTATCAGAGAAACAGATGGACTACAGTCTGTAACTGTAGAACTACAAAGTGCACCTATATAGTAAGTGGAGCTGATAAAACTGGACAATGAGCGTAGAAACAAGGAGGTGGTCAGATTGGTGTACATTGGCCATTAATCCTGCCTGAAATCCATTATAATCTAAGGACTTTTTTTTAACAATTGGCATACATAAGAGATACAATCTTATAATCCACATTAAATAAAAGTCTGGATGGGACGTCAATTATCTAATAATAGATGATCTCTGTTAGGTTTAGGTAGTAACGTTATAATTCCCTGTTTCATAGAAGCACACATTTCTTTGTCTTTGCTTATTGTCTTCATCTGTAATAATGGCTTTTCAAGGATGTCTCGAAAAAAGATAAAATACTACTGAGAGGCGTCTCTGACTTGATATTTACATTTTCATGTGAACTGCAGCTGATATGTCACTTCTTATGAGCTCATCTTCACATACATGTGGTTGGTCT